AAAATAAATAAATATATAAAAAAAAAACAACAACAACAACAACAACAACAACAAAAAAGAAAATCAGAGATTATCACTAAAATTTCCAGTAAATTATAACATTTTCTCAGCAGGATCAAAATCAACAAGCATCAATGGTATGTTCATAAACCTTGTAATTGATGACATATATCAAAATCCAATCATCTATCAAACAAGCCTTAACATGCAACGGTCTTCTAAATTTTGCACTCATAACGACATCCCCATTTTTTTCTCCCTTCATTTACTTTGTTTTCTTTATTGCAATTTTTTATGAATTAAACAAGCAACCCACATATAAACTCAAAAGTCCAATTCACACACACCATTATCTGCGTCCCTTTAACTGCAGCACAGGGCTTAGGCTCATACTCCATTACCCCATCTCGATATGAAACCCTGAAAAAAAAAAAGGAACAATAACAAAACCCAGATCCTCCATTAAATTATTGGTTTTGCCTATAAGAAAGTGAAAACGGGTAAAGTTGAAAACTTTTCTCAGAAGCATTTAACCAAACAGTTAAAATGCAAAAAAAAAAAAAATTGTTTGCTCGCCTGTAACCATGCAATTTTCCTGGAGTAATAGTAGTGACAGTCACATGACCTACATAAGTCATGCTGGCCAATGCCTCTCCTCTGAACCCCATTGACTTAATCGACTGTAAATCCTCGTAATTAGTCAGCTTCGACGTCGTATGCCTCTCGCATAATATAGGCAAATCCTCACGCTGCAGAAAATTAAATCAAATCAGAAAAAAATTATTTTACCTTTGAAAATTAAAATTTGAGTTTTTTTTTTATTTAAGTACGCGAATGCCGTGGCCGTCATCGGAGACTTGAATGAGTTTAAGGCCACCGTCTTTAACAACGACGTTTATAGAGGTAGAGTGCGCGTCGAGGCTGTTTTCTACTAGTTCTTTGATGGCTGAAACAGGGCGTTGAATTACTTCCCCGGCGGCGATTCGGTTGACCACGGACTCATCTAGACGGTGGATTTTTGGTGGTTCTGATGGTGAGTATGGTGTTTTTTCTGTTTTTATTTCCATTAGGTCGGTTTCCGGTGATGTTGGAGGTGAGTGTTCACCAGGTTCCATTTTTGTTTAGAAGAAGAGAGTGAAAATGAGTGTCTTCCCGAGTGGTGTTGGCGGGTCACGAAGGAGGGAAAGAATTACGGTTATTTTCTTATATTTTGATATTTTAATTGCGTGGGAGATTTAGGTCCTTGAATTATGAAGATTGTATCAGATTAATCACTCTACTCTAAAAATATGCAATCCCATCTTGTAGTACTTTAATTTGAAGACACCCGATGAAATTTACGAGCTCTTTAGTAATGGAAAGTTTTTCCAATTTTCGCTCCATTTCTAGTTTGCAAATTTTAATAAAAAGTCCGAAAATTGAAAAATATGCGCAAATCATTTTTTTTTATTTTTCAGAAAAGTCATTTTGTTGGAAAGTTAACATCTTCTTTAAAAAATTCTAAGAAATTGATCTGATTGAAAAATCAAAACTATTAGGAAGAAAATCAAATAAAAAAATTCTTCACATTAAAAAGATTTAGTGGAACAATATTTTTTTATATGTTTTAAAATTTATTTTTTATAACAAAATATTTTTTAATATTGAATTTTAAAAATTAAATACCATAATTTATTGAAATTTATTTTATATAAGATTATCCCAATCTCATAACTTGAATCATAATTTGGTAGATTGACTTGAATTTTTTTATTTGTATTTTTAATTAAAGTTTTTTTTTTTTCAATTTCATTCTCTAATATTAGGTTAATTGGATTTAGACATCATAATTTAGTTTGTTTTGATTTTTTTGAGGTTATTCTGGTTGTGACATAACCCAGGTTGACTCGATTCATTTTTTTTTTGTGTTTTTTTTTATATTATTATTTTTGCAATTCCATATTCCAAGATTGAGTTATTTGATAATTGAGTTTTATAATTATGATTTACTCTACATAAGATTATTTTTATCTCATTACTGAATTGTGGATTTAATAGATTAAACTAGGTTGACTCTTGTTGTTTTTTTATAGGGGTAAATAAAAAACTAAAAAACCGATTAAGCCTAGAAAACAAGAAAAAAAAACCAAAAAAATGAGGCATGAAAAAAAAATTAAACTAATTTAAAAAACTGGATAGTTCGGTTTAGGTTTTATAAATCTAAAATAAAAAAATTGAACCGAACCCAAATAGAAAAAACAGAGCAAAATTAGAAAAAATCAAGTCAAACCGGTTTAAACTAATTTTTATTCTAAAATAACTAAATCGAACTAAAATCAGTCGGTTTGAATATATTTTTATTCAGTTTTTAAAATTAATTTGGTTATTTTTTTTTTATAAAAACCAAACCGAATAAAAAATAATCACCCTTATAGATGGTGTGTGAGAAGACAGCTTCATTCTCATTCTGGATATTCTGCATTACATCCTACAAGATGTCGTGTTTGGTTAGTAGCACAATAAACTCTCATCCTAGCACTGCATTTAGCTTGCTTTGCACCTGTTTTCTCACAGACATCTGCATTCTCAGTAGTAAACATGTTTTGAATCGTTAACTATATCCCAGAGGAAAAATCAAGTAAAACAAGATGAAGTTTCTTGAAAAGAATACCTGCAAGTCATTAATTTCCTCATCTGTAAGTGAACATCCCGTGGATCGATAAGCAATCCTGTAAAATTGACTTGTCATTCCTGTCTTGTTTGTAAAATTGTCTATGAAGGTCCACAAAATCAGCAATAAAAATCAGTACCAGTATTGAATCTTCATCCAGACCTAAGAAATATTGCCTGATTATGTCTTAAATGACCTCAGAGGACAATCTCAGAAAGAAGGTGTGATTAGGAGTAGACTATTCAACAATTCCAGACTTCTTTGCCCAATTTAAACTTCTACAGAGAATTCTAAATTCAATTCAAACACTTTATAGTTTGATACTTTCAGCTTTTGTCCAAGCCATGATGATCCTAGCAAGTAAGATGGCGTTGGCATTCGCCAGAATGTTTGGCCATTCTGAATTCTGTTGGAATGTTTTGGTGAATTAGAAGTTTGTGCTGCTAAGTTCAACTTTCCAACAGGGACGATCCCTGATAATTTTATTTCACCATCATATCTCTAAAAACGTGTGATGCATCGCCATCATTCTTCTCCACCTTTCCTCTCACTTTCTAGTTGTGTGTTGGGGGAGGGGGTACTAATCTTCAAGATTATAAACTGCTAAGAAATACAAAGAAATCTACAGCTAGATGATGACACAACAATTATGAAGAAAGAGTAGAGGAATATTTGCTCATTTAGCAAGCGTCCATCTACAAGGAATCATGCGTAAGGCCCTCAAACTAATAATTGATGGAAAATGACAGGAAAAAACAACTCATGCAAAGCAGGGAATGTTTGAGCCTCACTTAAATTCGGCCCAGGGCTCAGAATTAATATAGAAATCTACTGCAACATGATGGCTGTCACATATGCATAACCACGCAAATTTCCAAACAAGGACGTGTGCCCATCTCTGCCATGTAAGAGCCACATCAGCGACACATGGGATGTGCCATCCAAATGGGAGATGTAACATTTAACTTTACTTTTCTTCCTTTCCTGCATATCCATATACACGCCAGCTTACTACAAAAATCAAATTTGAATGAATCAAGAACTGAGCTTGTAATCTTCAATTCAAAGTCCCACGTCTCGAAATGTTCCACTGATCATTTCCAGACATTGTTTCATCTGGAGAAAGACTCGAGGCATTGTCCATCGTTCTTCACCTTTTCTTTTCAATGGTTATCCAGCGATTCTGCACCATATAAAAACTTGTGACACCTGCTTCTCTTTTCCATCCTTTTCTTGTTCATATTTTGGACAAAGGTTCTGCTGGTTACCCTATATGGCCAGTTAACCTATATGGTCTGACGTCCTGCACGCCTCAAGTCCACAACAACAGTTGTCATGCCCCGTCAAAAAGAGGTCTTGCCTCACATGGGGGAAGAAGGTGTTTATGCAGAAATAGAGAGCAAGAGGAAACAAAATATGCTACAACATCAATATCAAACGAAAAGTCTACTTCAACACTAATCATCAATGACAACACTAAAATTCAAATTCTGCATGTATAAAAGACAATTATTGGCAAATATATATGAACATATCATTTTTTCAGGAAGAGAGGGGCAAAAGGTACTATCATATCTACAAAAAAACCTTCCTTTGCAATTAGTGAAAACATGTTTAGGATTCTACGGAAGAACTTATAACTAAATTTGTAGGTTAACCTCATCAAGCCTCATGTTCTTCATTGAGTCTCATGTTCTGTTCAAGAACCTCCGTGACGATAATACAATACTGCCCGGTAGATGGCAGCAACATGAAGAAAGCAAATAAGCACTACAAGGAGATCATCCAGGAGACCAACTATTCCCAAAATTCCTGTAAATTAAAATCCATAGCTGATTGCATTATTTTAATGTTATTCACCAAAACTAGTCAACCAAAGCAATGCAAGAAAACAAAATATAAATAAGTAAATAGATCAAAGCTATCAGTAACCTTCTGGAATAAGGTCTACAGGGCTGATGATGTAGATGGCACTTAGTACCACCTGCAAACAAGAAATAAATAAGAATCTTGCTGTGGAAATGAGACTAGAATCCCAAACAACAAATCAAGTAGTGCATAAAAAACTTAATTTGGTCAATCGAAGAAGACTAGTGCTTTAGTCTAAAGAGTTGCATAAAACAGCTAATACAGTAACAGTTTCTACTAGCAAACTAACCAAACTATAAACCAGTCAAAGAATGCAAAACATAACAGAAAAACTGAATACTAAGTTGCTTCGTGAGTCTATATTGGATATGCAGCCCACAAAAATAATTGTTCTTAATAGACTAGATTATGTCATTGTCACATTTCATGGATTAGAACATAGAGCAGCAGTCCTCCTTCGACACTGAATAACAGCAAACAGAAAGTATGTTAGGGGACGAATTCTCAATGAAAGGCTAAAGAAAACCCATACCAATTAAATTAAGCCAGCATCCAAGTTTCCATAAAATTATATCATTGCTCTAGGAAGTCATGACTTCTCATTCTAACAATCTTCTGCTCGATCATTATACCATGTCTTTCTTGAGTTGAGCTCTAGTGTCTAAAACAGTATTCTTGTTAACAGGAATATATTATATTAGATGTTGAAGAACTAAGCAACAATTTTCTAGCATTCATTACATGCCTTCTCAAATACTCAAGACATGAAGGTGTGGAATACTTCAAATTCACAAGTATGAGAGCCACCACACGCTGTATGTTGAATCTATTAAGAGTTCGATCTCAGTCCCTTTTGAACAGATAGATTAATTTTAGGTTAATTTAAAAAAAAGGCTCATAGTATATTCCTAAAAGATGACAGAACATCAAGCTGAAAGGAAAAAACAAATAGATAGAAGCATTCTTATGTTCACCATCCATGCATGAGTTTCAAAACCACAATGCAAGAATAAGAAACAGACAGTTGCTGATTCACTTAACTGAAATATAGACACGTGCCCTGATGACCAAAGGAAGAGACCTTTGGGGATCCATTATTTCTCGCAACAACCTCCGGAGAAGAAATGGAAGGTCTTGCATTCTCTGAAGATAAGAGAATTCATCTTTTTAAAACTCATAGCAGATATGATTATAAATACTGAAACAGATAAAAATTATAGAGTATGTCATCAACTAATACTTTTTAATCATCATGTCTAGCTTTCTTACGATTAAGAAAAATGAGTGAAAGCTTCATATGAAGATCAGAACGACAAAGAGGCCGTTGTTCATGTAGTTGGCACCTACAAATCTATAGAACCCAGTGGAACTTCTTAGTAAATCAATTAAGCAATAACTACACCTAAGGCATAGGTATCAGACCTTACTGTTCCCCATCAACAGAATAACTGCTTTAATCTTACTAACATTACCAAGTAATTTTTTAGAGAACTCTATCTCACGTTTTAAGTTCTATATACAAGTAGATCTCCTAAAACTGTATAGTTTTCTGTGATTTTAGCTGAGAAATCAGAAATCATACGATATCACGTTCTGTGACATAAGGAAGAAAACACCTAAATGCATCTATGAGAAGAAAAAGGTTTCCTATCAGTGGAAAATGAGAAAAAACTGTGACAAAGTAGCACAACCATATAGGCCACAAAGTAAAGCAACTATTCTTCTTCTCATATTCTTTCTCTAAAGCTAGGAAGTAGAGCAACTACTATCAACAGAGAAACAGTGTGGCAGCTGAGATTGCAGCATGGAAAAAGGAAGGGAGGACAGACAAAAATTTGGAAGGCGCAGTGAGAAGGTAATAACACCGAATCTAAGGACCAAATTCCGAATAACTGTTGGGGAAAAAAATCCTCTTAAACTTCCACAAGAAAGACATGCATTCCATAACAAAAATCAATATCTGTCCTTTGTTTTGGCTGTTGCCTTTTGATTGTGATTAGAATAAGGTTGCATTGTTTAAGGCGATATTAGTTGCAAGGAACAATTTATTATATACAAGACACTGAGACACTTAAATCTACATGCCTGAATGAGACCACTGGTATTTCCAGCAAAAAGATGATTGTATCTTTCAATTTTTCGAAGAACCTCAGCAGCATCAGGATCACTGCGCTCCCTTAATGAAGCTTCACCAGGAACCAGCAATGTAATCTGCCGACGACACAGTGGACATTTACATGGCTGGAGTACGGATCCATGATGCCAAACAAGCATAATACAATCACCTAAAATACCAAGTGAAAAAAAATTGCATTACCTGCATGTTTAATCTTAACAATCTAGAAACCAGAGATTAGAAAGAGAGAACCCATATATCATTTCAACAAAAGAAAATAGATAAAAATATGCATTTTGACCACATAACTGGACAAAGATTCCTTCTTCAAGTATAATTTTATGCTTTTATATGATAACATTATTGTCAAGGAATCCTGCGTTGTAAAACATCTGGTTCTTGCAAAAATGAAACACAAGAAAATGTTGATTGAATGCAATTCCTATTATGAGCACAAGATTTAACAGAAAACCAATGTCATCGAACTAAATATGTTCCTATGAACAACTTGTGCAAATCATAAACTCAAAATTAAGCATTATCACAATAAACCAAATGCCTCAAAGTTAATTTAAATTAAATGGGTACTAATAGTTGATTACTAATGTTAAGATAAACTTTTCAATCAATTCCTTTTCCTGGTTCAACTCCTTAAGCTCAAAAGCCATCATAGACACAAATTGTTATTATTAAATGATAATTTAGCAAACAAAAGAAAACCCATGAAAGATAATCATTTATCATTCATGAATACCTTCAAAATCTTCTTCCTTGTTAAAAAAAGAAAGAAAGAAAAACTCACATTGGATTCTTGTTTTTAAGCTAATTCGGAAAGAAAACGGAAGTGTAGATGAGAAAATGGAGAAGAAACTGACCACAAAACCAATGAGAGCAATTGGCCTGGCAAGCAATGTTGAAATGTCCATGGCATATGGAGCAAAAATCATTCACCGGAGGTCCATCCATTGCTTCCTTCTCTGTTTGTTTCGTTCTTCTTTCTTTGCTTAACACTTAGATTTTTCGATTTCCACCGTCTTTCGTTTTGGGAAACTAAAAATGTTGACGAAGCAGATTTCTACGTTTTTTAATAAATAATAATAATAATAATAATAATCCAACAACGGCCTCAGTCTATAAATTCCCGTTCCATTTATCTATGTTTTTCACGAACAGAGGAGCAGGCAATAATTTATATTGTTAGGTTTATGGGAAAATGGTCGTATGGTATGGTAGTAAATCAGGGAAAGGAGCGGCTAAGACGGTAAAAAGAAAATGAGAGTGGCAAAATACAGTTTGGGACCTATAGTTTTTATAATGTTACAAATTGATTCCTATAATTTAAACATGAAGGGAAATATAGTTTGCCAGGCGTAAAAGAAATACATGTAAACATTGGTAAACTGTCTCCTAGAAAAATAAATAAACTTAGCCATGAATTAAACAATTTTCTTATATAATATTAAGATGAAAAAACATTTTATCTATTTGAATTAACTTGAATTGACATGTGAAACTCATGAGAATAACTTTAAAAAATATTTAAAAAACTTAATCTTGAATTTACTTAATATTAAAGAATAAAATTAGCAAAACACAACATTTAATTAAAAAAAAACTTCAATGAACTTGAGTCAACCAAACAAACTCGTGACACAAGTAACAGATGTTATCAAATTAAATAAATCTTATACCTCAAAGATTATTTTTTATTTAGTTACACGATAATAAAGTATATTATAATTTTTTTGTATGAATTATTTTCTAAAAAAAAGACAAGATAGATGCATGGGAGAGATAGCAAAAATAGATCATTGATAACAAATTATAAAATTGTATTTGTTTAGATTTGAGTTAAATAAAAAAAATAGATAATTGATAATAAATTGTGAAATTGCATTTTAAAAAAATTGAGGGATAAAAAAATCATAAAAAAAACATTAACTCGAATATTTTAAGTTAACTCATTAAATCTGCGATGTAGTTTATGAATTCAATTGAATTCAATGATCTTTTTATTAATTTTAAAAAAAAAATTAAAATGAGCCTAGATATGTTGACCTAATGGCCCAACTTCTTTGAGCTTTTAAAAAATAACATAAACATGTGAGCCTTCTAGTCTAGTTTGCATATCTAGACTTACTTAGATTTGCTTGTTTTCTTTTGTTTTAAAAAAATCAAACAACTTGTTTTTTACCTTAATTTTTTTAAAAAAAATAAGAAATGATTAAACCCTTTTTTTGCCTCAAAATTATTCCTATAGATAGATGTATCCCCTCGGACAAAGAGAAGAAAAAAATACATAGGTGAAAACTCTTCTTATGAAATAAAACTTAATAACATTAATATTGACTATTTTATAGTCAAAATCATTGAAATTTATGAATTTCTCTCTTTACATCATAATCTAGCAAGTTTCTCTCCTTTCTTGTAAAAAATCACTAAAGTTTAGTACTAAAATTAAATTTTTTAAAAATAAAAGCACTAATTATCTAATAACTAAAGAAAATAAAAGACTAAAATAAAATTTGAAATTGACACTATTTTACCTATTATTTTTATATTAGTCATCTAGCTATTGATTAAACCCTTTTTTTCTTAAACAATAATGCTAATTAGAGTTAAAAAGAGCTCAATATATATAAAAGAGAATCAAATTGAATTTTTTTTTTATAATGATTTATAAGAGTGTGAATAATTTTTACGGTTAAAAGGCCACTTGGTTTATTTTTGTTAATAACTACACCATAAGGAAATTTTGATGATTATACAAGACACCAAAGCACAAAGACAAATGGATTTTTTTTATCACGTAAAAATGGATTTTAAACCTGATAAATTTTTCTGACAATAATGTCAAAATTACAATTATATTTCTATCAATTCCACCAATAAATTTACGTAAAAACGATTTTCGTCAACCTCTGTCCTAGTTTGTAAGCTTTTGGGTAAATTGTATTAAACTTTAGGTATAATTGATCGTTTCAATTTTTGAATATATTTTAAAAATTAACTATTAAATTTAAAAAAAATATATTTTTTTTCAAAAAAAATTCAATTTTTTTCAAGAAAAAAAATTTTCTATATTTTTTTAAATAAAATATGAGTTCTTTAATAAGTATAATAATTAGAAATCCTTCTAAGATGTTTAATGTATTTTCTCAATAAAAAATAAAATTTTATTTTTTTTATTTATTGACATTTATAAAAACAATAGCAAAAATAATAATTTTCAAAATTTTAAGAAAATTCAAAAAATACAATTTTCAAAAATATTTAAAAAATTAAAATATAAAATATAAAAAATTTGAACAATTAAAATTTAAAAGAAATGTTTGGAAGATAAAGATCTCGTTAGGAATGCCGTGGAGGCGATGACGAAGACATGGTTGGCTCGCTGAAAAAATAGTGCTTTTATGAGAAATTTTTATTTCATTGAATTTTTATATCAAATTTATTTTTATTATTTATTTTTATTTTTTATTTTTTATCTATTTTTTTTTTATTTTATCCCTTGATATTTAGATAATTAAAAAAAATATGTTTGTCTTTAATGGATAATACCAGTCTCATGATTGCACTAATTTTAAAGATTATCCCGATTAGATTTTAGTCTTTTTAAGATTTTTTTTTAAATTAATATTTTTTTTAATTAAATTATAAGTTAGTTGAGTTAATAATTTGTGTTAAATCATGAGTTAGTTGAGTTAATATTTTTATTTTATATCTTAAATTATGAGTTAGTTGAGTTAATATTGGTTAACTCGTGTTTATTTTACGTGTTTTTAATTAATTATTTTTAATTTTTTTATATTTAGTTTGATTAAGAATTAATCTTAATTATTTTATTTAATTTATTTTATACGAAATTATCTTCACATCATTATTAAATTATGACTCAATTCTTGCTTTTTTATTCTTTTTCAAATTGCTTTATTTTTTGTGGCAACTTGTAAATTTCATTCAGGCGAGTAAACTGCGAATAGTTTCTTAATATAATGGCACGACAAAATTACAAGAAAAAAAGTTTTGTTAATGAAGTCATATGCCATCTAAAGACAAGCAATCCCTGTTTTGGATGAGCCATTCTTTTGAAAAGCTCTACGCATGTATCATTCCATTTTTTGGGGTGGGGATCACTGGGAAAGTTTGAAACCTGATGCTTGTCGATTATTTTTTGCAAGCATATAATTAAAACGGATATTTATCTTCAAATTTAATAGCTTAGCATGGCAGTTTCTGATTCCTCTTGTCTAATTCAATTCTTGTTTTCCCAACGTACCAAGTAAATTTAGTTTTCGTTTTCCCCATCTTTTGTGATCATCTTGCTTCTTCCTTCATCTTATCAATTCTTTTCACTTCTTTTCTTCATTATGATTCTAATTTGCAGTCAGAGCCTTGTCTGAAAGGTGAAATCGTACCAGTGCAGGATAGGGTTATTGACATTGCAAGTGAAATCAGCTCTAAAGTTATACCAGTGAAGGAGGCTCTTCACAGCTTGAGTAGTTTGGACATCAAACTGAAGGTACTACTACTCCCTTTCACACCTCTGGTTGTGCAGGTGAATGTTCTCATCAAGAAAATTCCCAATTTGAATTCACATATTAGATCAACAAGTATCGAGTCCAAAGATAAAAGCACAAAGGGAAAAAATCCAGCTCTCATGTCTTCTGATCAGTGAATGATGAACTTCTTACAAAAGAATACACAAAACAAGTAAACCAGAGACAAATACTTAATTCAACTAAGCTCGAATATCAAACTAGCCAAGGCTGCAGTCACCTCAGGCCAAGTTTTCTCTGAGCTTCTATGATACTAGATCTTAGATGTTCCTTTCGTAAGAAGTGGCTGGCTGCACTGGAAATTCGTTAGTAGAAGAGCCAGACATCTGTTTACCAACATTGGAAAGAAGGTAAAAGAACATGTGTACTGTCATTTTCTTTGCTAGTTTTTTCTATCATGACTGGAAATTACAAGGCTGAAGAATGTGCTTGACCATTGCTAATACTGTTGGCATACATATAAATGGTGGGATAAATCAGATAGTCATAGTTTCGTCCCATCAAGGCATTATTGGTTTGAGTTGAGTGAAATAATTTTCTCCTCTGACTGTTGAAAAATGAAATACTTTCACACGCTAACCTTCCACATCTCATACGGGAAACTATCTTTCAAGGCAGATTGAGGATTTGTTGAATTGACTTGTCAGATTATCATGTGATTGAAATAGCAGCTGTCATATAATATTCGCACATTATTTACTGTTGTATCATGTTACCACCAGTTTATATGGGAGTTGGCTGCTCATTTGTTTCATGTCAATAGGCTTCCAATGCTGAATTCTTGCAAACCTGTATCGCGAACTCTCTAACATGGGCTGAGAAGGAACCATCCCTGGAATGTGATCAAGCTTTTATCCCATCTCCAGCTGAGCGGATATCATTTGCGGCATTCCAACCTATTAGAAGCAAGTGTTTCATTGTCCTTTATTCTTAACATGAAGAAAAAAATTTCCTTAGAAAGCTTCAGTATTTTGTTGTGGTAATCATTCTAATAGTTGGAATTACATGAAATACTCTTGTGATGAAAAATTGATCTGGCAGTAATCTGCATGTTGCTGTTTTTCCAACAGGATCTTCTGCACAATCAGAAAAACTCAAGTTGCAGCAACAGAAGTTAAGAGCAATGGATCATCTGAAAGACACGCTACAAAGACTGGACAATTCACTAGAATTAGTTAATGAGAATATCTCCATGGTAGCAGCCAAGCTTGCTATTTAATCATTAGAGATGCAGTGGGCTTTAAGTTCCCTTTGATGCACAGTTCATGAGCTATTTTATTAATACTTTTAGCTGTATTTTTCTTCGTTTTGTTTCATATCCTCTCTTATTACTGCATTTTTATCTTCTCAAAGGAGAAATCTTAAATAGTTATAATTTTTATGTAGCAAATTATCATTGTCAATAATATTGTTAGCTAAAGCTATATTGTAAACGAAACTAACACAAGCCCTCGAATGAGAGGATATTTGTATTAATAAATTATATGGGAGGATCATATCATTGATTTCTTTCGATATTTTTCAGTTTTTCGTTTTTAAATGAGAAGGCAGGAAGTTTACAAGATGAATTCATCAGTATATTGGTATTGACCTGTAAAAATTGCGGGCACTTTCTAGTTCTTAAAACCAAAAGAAAAAAGGAAAGCCAAAAAGGAAAATATGAGGCCTGGAATTGTTTGCAGAAAGCTCCAAAAAACAAAAAGAAATATCTGACCTGAAAAGGAAGCAACTAGGATGATTTTTTCATATCATGAAGTTTTGCAACATTCTGTTTCTCTTTTCTTCATCTGTTCTCTAATAAAGAAAGACGGGAGAGCCACTGACATGGGATTTGTCTCAATCTCCTCCTTTGCATTCTCAATCACCACCACCACGGGCACCACCAGAAAGCCATCTCTCCATCACCACTACAGCCACAGCAACCGGCTTCACTTCCTTACAAAGTGTTCTCCTCTTCTTCCTGTACGTTCATTCTCTCTTTTTCAAGTGCTCTTTCTTTAACTAAGAACGCATGCCCTACTATTTACACATATCACGCATACAATAACTGAATCAAGCTACCAGATAACAGGTTTTTGATTATTTGGCACTATGAATGTTGTATTTCGGTAGAGCTTAACATATTTTGTTGAGCTTTAGCAAAAATGTTAAAATTGAAGTTGTTTCATGTTGGAACAATACAACTTTCTGACTCTAAAGCTTCAGTTTATGCTCAGAGAAAATGCAGTGTAAACCTTTTGAGATCATGTAGAGGGAACACTGCCTGCAGAGCTTCTTCCAGCCTATTGAAAATCGAAGATGATATAGATGATGAAGCTTGCGAGTTAGTCAGTGGATTGGAAATTTCAATAGGGGAAGGTGATGATAGCATCGATGCTTATCTGTTAAAGGCAATGAAGAATAATAATGGAACTGGTATATTGCTCTTGTCTGATATTTTTGGGCTCGAAGATTCATCTACAAGAGACTTTGCGTATCGTGTCGCCTGTAATGGCTACAAGTAAGTTGCTTTACCTTGAATTGACAGCTAATTTCCTGATAATGTCGATATTCCTGTCATGTAGCAAACACAATTTACTGATGTTTTTCCTCTGATAGTCACAGACATGACATCAATCACATGTTAGCAATTGCAATACCTATGTCTGGGTCACGGTTAGAATTCATTTTCATCACAAGTTGCAACTGACTCCTTGAAGCTTCCGTAACATGTGTTTATTTATTTGGATTGAAGCGTTCTAGTTCCAGACTTGTTTCGTGGGGATCCGTGGACGAAAGACCAGCCGATGACTTTGTTGGAACAATGGATCACAAAACAGGAACCACAGAGGGTCGCAAAAGACATCGATACATCAGCAAAATGGATGGTTGATGAATTTTTAGCTGCAGGAATCTCGAAGAAGCTTGGCATAATTGGATTTTGCTTCGGAGGAGGCCGAGTGATAGATGCGTTATCCAGAGACCAGGGAGCATTGTTTGGCGCTGGGGTCTCCTTCTATGGTACAAGGATGAACCCATCTTTAGCCTCCTCCATAAAGGTTCCTGTGTTGTTTATTTCAGGAGATAATGACCCTCTATGCACAGTCAGTGTCTTGAAAGATTTTGAAAAGAACATTGGCCAGGGATCAAAGGTGGTGATTTTTGAGGGAAGAGGTCATGGTTTTGCCCATCGACCAAACTGTCCTGAAGAAGACAAAGATGCAGATGAGGCTTTTACAATCATTAGAAAATGGCTGCATGATGGTTTGGTTATACATAACTGATAGCAAGTTCATGAATGTCCATTGTGTATTCACTGTACTCATGACTGCTGGTGCAAAATCTTCCGGTGCTATGTGATGGTGTTTCATCATTACATGTACATGATGGCCGATGATTTCTTGGTGTTACTCGTATAGCAGGCTGCTGCTAGAACTTCCAGTGTCTAACAGACTAGATGCCCTGTCTACTTTGTCCAAGTACAGGAGTAGTTTTTGCACGAAGTTTAGTGTAAGCTAGAATGCCATCCAGGAACAACAGTAGCTTGAGCAGCTCCTGGTTCCATTCCCTCTTTGCATGTCATCACGAGTGCATTCCAAATATTTTGAACTATTTCCCTGGCGTAAGCTATAGTACCATAGTGATAGTATCCATGTAATTCATCATCAAAGATTTACGTTGGACTTTGTTATCATTCACGGGTGCTTTTTGTCTGGCGGCTGCATTTTGGTCTCGTGGCCACTGATGCCTGTGATTCTTTATTCTGTAACGAGCACCAACTAACATTCAAATGACCAGCCAAATTGTTTTCTGAGGACAGGACACCACGAACCTAATATAAGGATATCAAATGCTAGGACAACATCTATCAAGATAGAAAACCTTTGACCTGTTTTCTACCATCTCAGGATAGAATCCCATCTTCTATACAAACCTGACCGCATCTATTCTCTTGGAAATATGTCTCCATCAACTTCTGAGTGTGCCTTTGGATAGAATCTGCACCTTCTTCGCAGGAAATGGTTTTTCTCCTGTGTTTCTTTTAACGTTGCTTTTTTCCTGTTTTTTCTTCCTTTTCTGACAAAGTAGCAGCACAACATAGAAATTCACCCATATGCCAAACAGTTGCCAGCAACTTAGCTTTCATCTTTAGAGTTAAGCTTATGTTCATGATCATTCGCCTTAATCAGCGTCACTAGCAATTAGCATTTATGACGGGGGAGTCGTAGACAAACCATGGTAGAAACGCTGTTTACCAAGCTCAAAATCTTGTCCTTCAGTGCGAATGAGTGAAGTTAATTTTCTTTGATCATAATAAGAATTTCACTGAACTAGTAACATGAACACCCCGATCGCTCGGACAATACGCCATTCCTAATAATGCAATCATATCTGGCAGTTGCAAGCAGTTCTCAACACATTGGTGCTTGGGTTTTTTAGATCCTGGGGCTCGAAGAGTACAATATGTATGACAACACAGATTGTGATGAAGGGAGAAGGGGGGAGAGGGGGGAGAGGGGGAATCAGATGCAAATTACACATCCTGAGTAACCAAAAAGACGTGTCCTGCTACCTCCCAACAAGCAAGTCACAGTATGACAGAAGAGATCCTACATTACAGCGTGACTGAAAGTAAATTGCATCAGGCAACAGTTTTCTGTAAGATTTTACCTTTTTTTGAAAAAAATAAAATAACTTTGCATATAAGATCTCCACCTTATGGTTTCACTTGAGTCTATTATTTCTTTCGTTTTCTTGGTATTAAAACTTTACCCTGATAGAATTACAGGACAGAAGGTAACAATCTATTGGAAATTTGGAGTACATTAACAGTGTAGCCATCAAGGGAAATGTTCATTCTACAATTTAAAAAGCCACCCGGGAAAAAGGACAACAGCAATCTCATTTTAAGAAAATTCTGATCTGTAACCAGGCAACTTGAGGATCGCTTCATATAACATTTCTCAGTCCTGGCCATCCTGGAAACAAAAGAGCACCACATAAGCAGTCTCTTCATGCAGATTCTTATGATAAACATAAACATGATTTGAAAAAAAAATCACAAGTAAAGATCCAACAGATCTTATAGATCACAATTTCACAATGCAATAATCCACTGAAGTCACCAGGCTCCCTTCAGTTGGTGCATAAACATAAAAAAATTCACCCAATTCAGATTCTTCATCATTATTATTGAGCTGGCCGTAGGAATTTTTACAAGGAATTGTAAGAAATCAACAAAACTCCAGTTAAATTATATTTTTCACAATAAATATATAACATTATTCTAACCTAACCAAATTCAATTCCAAAAGATCATGAATGTCTGAACAATGTAGTCGACGTACAGCTGCATGAGATCATACTAGAAATAAATGGCTATAATATCATTTCAGAAAACTAAATCAAATGCATAGAACTTATGACCTCATTAGTGAGCATGAACAAAGTCACTCAATGCTATGCACAATATTAGTCTAAATTGATATGCAAACATTTTGGTGGAGATTGGATCAGCTGATTAAATTAAATTTACATCTTTGTCATAATTCTTGAAAAAGTTTTGCTGCCATTTGTACTGAGACTAAGGTTATCAAGATAAAGTAGGCAGAATGAGTGCAACACACAATGTTAAACTGAGCAACCTGCAAAATTCATATCATAACAGCCAACCGTGAGAAAAAAATGAGAGACAGTGCCTGAAGGTCTTGGCACAATATACTTATGGTGGCCATAAGGAAAACCCACACACGCAAAATGAATATTAAGAAAATCCTGCCTGTGTCAAAACTAGATTAAAAGCTATACAGATATGACATGCTAACATACCATGTGCCATCATGCTTCTAGATGGGAATTGTGTAGTAGTGTCAGTAGAGAAGAGGCCAAACACACAACAAAATTAAGGGATCATGTGAAATATTAAGAAAAAATTCTTCCAATTTTCATAAATAGATAAATTATAACATCACCCTGTTCAATCTTCTTTTTTTTTCCTTTATCATTATAACAGAAAAAATTTCAAATCATCTTTGTATTGTTATTTTATAACTAATCACTTGATTCAAGGACCTTTCACACCAGGAAAAGTAACTCATGGAGAATAATATATAACAGTATGTTCACAAAATATACATCAAAGACTACAAAAGTATCAGTGAAAGAAGCACAAAAAGGAGTGGAAATATTTTATTTATGGAAATATTTTTTGTTATCATCAGCATACCTGAGAAGCAGGAACACTGGGAGTATTCAGAGGTGTTAACTCCTTGTGAGCACTTGATGTTTTCTTGGGACATTCCATCTGTGCAGGTGATCCCTGAAAAATACGAGAACAGTCCGTGTATGCAGACCCAATGCCTACTCCAGCACCGAAAGCCACAGATGCCCAACGAGACACAGGGGACCCTATTTAAAAAAAAAATGATCACAATAATCAATTTGAATCCTCGATAAAGGGAAAAAACATGCAGTGACCAGTCAACAAAACATAAGAGTTGAACTGTCATTGCAATAGAACACGTTTTCGCATCAAGCATTAAATGTGAGGCGTTTAATTACCAAACTATCCAAACCATTCAGATACTCAGAACTTAAAGATGCATCACCGCGGAAAGGTTTTGCTGTTTACATTTTAGGGATTCTTTTAGATAAATGCAAGGTTGATCATTGGAAATTTTAAGGAGTAAGGAACAAAACACAGTACCCCCACAAATTTACCATTAAGAAAATCATCAATTTCACAAAACTCAACACACGGGTCATTCAAAGCATAGAGAGAGAGAGAGAGAGAGCAAATTTCAATTAGAGCATTGAATTATCCATGAAAAAATGCAGAAAATGGAAGCCACTTTCATTAAAATCCAAAGAGAGAATCTGGGTTATCTACTAAAATAACAGCATTGAAGAATTTTGGGTTCTCGACTAAAATAGCAGCATTGGAGAATTTGGGCAAAGAAAATATCATCATGGCTGTGAATTAGCACGAAAATCAAGACTGAACACAAAGCAATTAAGGTGGCAGTAACAAATATCTGAGAAATAAACTAAGAAAAAGGAATATATATTCATTAATTAAAAATAACGAAAGAAGAAAAAGGGAGAGACTGACTGAAGAGGAGAAGACCGCCAAAGGCACCGGCCAAGGAAGAGTAAACGAAGCGACGGACAGACAGATCGAGACACGCGTCCCATTTAGCATTCACGTCGGTTTTCCCTGCCATTGATTTTATTTCTATCGCTTCTTCTTCGATTTTGAGTTGAAGGGAACCAGCCAAGGGTTTTCCTTTATGCCTTTCTTTCTCTCTTTCCTTGCTTCTCGCCTGAAAATACCTTGTCTCTTCTTTTTGGGAAGCCCTCCTCTTCTATTAATTAATTAATTAACATACGAAAATCACAGTTTGATTATAACAGTGAAATTATATTTTTATCTCTAAAAAATCCATTTGAACCGGCACATGGGGTAGATTTATATTTTCACGCCATTCATTTATCATTTTATAATTATTAAAGGATATTTTTATCTTTTTATAAACTTTTTCATAATAAATTTATTTTAGTACCATCAAAAACAAAATTTCACTCGTATTTTTTACTTTTGACTTTTTCTAAGTGCAGTGCAATGACACTATCACTCTTAAAATAAAAAATTTCAAAACATCGTTTAAAAAAACAATTCATCATTTCAAGATTGGTTGGTTTTTTAGTAATAATTATTTGATCTTAAATAATTTTTTTAATATATAAAAAATAAAATGGCATTGATTTATGGCAGTTATTTAACTATTTTTAAACTACGTGTATAATTAATTTTGATTATAAAAAAAATTTGTTATATTATATTGTATGATGCATCAAAATGTTTTTTTAGAGACTATATATATGGTAATGTTGGTTTGATTTTTTTTTCCTTAGTTTTTCTCTTATCTCTCTTGATTTGTGCATTCACCATGAAAAAAATCACAACAACCCTTAAACTTCTTTTCCCTTTAAATTTAGTCTTTATTTTATTTGTTTTATTTTGAAAAATTACTTCAAATGAAAAGTTTTTCAATTTTATCCTTCATTGGTTCATATTTTTTTGGTTATTTTTTTGTTTGATATTATTTATTAATTTTATTTATTTCTTGTGATTTTATCCTTATTTTTTTATGTTTGATCCTCATTCTTTTATTGTTATTTTTTTTCCAATTATATCTTTCAAAATTAAATTGGTTTAAGGTTGGTCTTCTTGGTTTAGCCATGGTTTACAGTTTTTAAAGACTAACCCTGGTTAAGATGATTTTTTTTCTTGTTTGCTTGGTTTTTCATGTTATTAAATTGAGGTTTTTTTTCTTTAGCCCAATTTAGGATTTTACAAGTTGTAATTTTTAAAGACTAACTCTAGTTTAAAGAACTTTTTTTGGTTTGCTCGATTTTTCATATTATTAAATTGATGTTGTTTATATATATATATATATACATAAAAACTTAAAATTTGTACTACCTCAGGGTGTTACGGTAATCACTAATATAGGTTTACTCAAGTTTTTTTTCACATTTTACTTTTAATATTTAATTCGTTGTAATTGAGCTTTCCATTTTGTTTCATTGTGGATTCCATGATTTTATTATTATCTTATACCTATGTTGTGACTTTCACAGGATAACTGTGGTTTATCCAAGTCAATCAAGTATCCTATTGTTTCATTATCGTGTATAGTTATCTTTTTAAAAAATTATTGTGCAGTGCATTATCATTTAAGTATTTAAAAAATATTTCGGTTAATATTAATCAAATTTTTAACTTTCTAATATTTTTATAATTTTTGTAGGTTGAAAAACAAAATTCAACCCATGGCATAGCAATAGCCAAGAAAAACTAGTTGATTCTATAATATGTTTATGATGGTATAAAATGACAAACATTTTAATTTAGATATCTTAGGTTTTACATGGTATTGATTTTTTATAAGCACACCTTGTAGTTTTAACTAGCTATTTAACTATAATTAGATGAGATTTTTTAATAAAAAAATTCAATACACAAACTTTTAAGATATTATTTTTACATTAAAAAAATCATAAATGTAAACCAAAAGGTCAATACATGCATCTAATTAAATAAATTAAAAATCACATGTGTAAATAAATAAAAAAACAAATCATAAACAATAACTAAAAATAAAACTGAAAAAAAAAACATTGAAAAATAAATAGATTAAGATATTTAATCTCGTAACACAGATTATTTATCTAATTGTGTTTAATAAACTTACTTATTAAATTTATTTTTTATTAAATCAAATGATAATAAAAAAAGACACACTCATAAAACAAATTAAATAAAAGGAAAGGAAAACGATATTATGCAATGGTGCACATAGTATAAATATTATTTAAAAATTATTTTTTATTTTTAAAAATAAAATTCATCTATATAAAATAAAAATAATCATTAATGAATGAAAATAATCTCTTCAAAAACTAAACACGAACAAAAAATACCTTTATTTATAAAAGGTTAAATAAGAAAAATAAAAAAAATCACATAGGCTATTAATTAAAATATAAATTAAAAATTATTAAAAAACATATAAAAAGGGATATCAATTAAAAATAAAAAAGTAAAATTATATATATATATATATTAAATATAATGGAGTGAATAACATGTTGTCACCTCAAATATTTTTTTTAATAAATCAGAGCACACGTTGTCTCATTTTCCTAGATTTTGCCCATTGTGATGCATAAAAAATTAGGTTATTTTTTTGTTTAGAAATTCATTTTTCAACCTATTTTTTACTAAAACACATAGAAAAGAGCCTAAACACTTGACAAAACTTACAAATAGCTTTAAAAAAAAAAACTCAAAATCAACCTGATATAAAAAATCTTTTTAAACTTAAATTTGATTTTTTAGACAACTTTAAAATAAAAAAACACATACATGAAACTTTCTTCAAACTCATTAATACTAAAATCAATTATTTTAATAATTAAAATTGATATTAATATTGATTTTCTCTCTTTACCTCGTGTATTTAGCAATTTCTCTCTTTCTCTTTCTCTTCTTTTTCAAGCTAAAGATTAAAAAAGTTGTTAAAATAAATTTTTATATCAAAATTAAAATATTTAGAAACTAAATAGGTACAATCTAAAAAATAGAAAGCTAAATTAAATTTTTTATTAAAACTTTGAGACCATCATCTATTTATGATGTCTTTTCTACTTTGATGTTTTTTTTTTCAACTTTATTTTTAATCATCAAGTTTGATTCAATTATTTTTTAATTTAACTCCAAAAAAGCACAATATTTTACCCGATTTATGCAATAGTTTTTATATTGAATATTGAATGTGAATCCAATATTTATTATTAACGTAAGATTTGGGCTTTGGATGGCACATTTAAGAAAACAAAGGTGTACTTGGTTTGTGAAAAATGGAAGTGAAATGAACCCTTATGTCTTCATAGAGTGTTTGAGAAATGGGTCTAAGACCAACTCTACATGTGTAATTTTGTTGTAATTTTTGTGATTATAATTTAAAAAAATATTTTTTAAACAAATATTTTTAATTATTAGTTTAGAAAATAGATTTTAAAATATATGTTTTAGTTAAAACTATTATAAAGATAAAAAAAATATGTAAAATAAATAAAAAGCATGTTTTCAATTATTTTAACTTTTACAAAAATAAGATTTAAAATACAATTATATACCTGTTAAATTAAAGCACAAGGACTGGGGTCCTAAAAAACAGCTTTGAAACTATCCCCGTTAAATTCGTAAGTAAATGTAGTAATTCTTTTATATCTACAATTTAAAAACGTTGTTCAAAAACCATTTCATAAAAACTTGATTTTTTATTTAAAATTATATTTTTAAATTGTTTTGATATATTATTTTCAATTTAAAAATAAAAAATAATATTATTTTAATATATTTTCAAATACAAATTATTTTAAAAAATAATCTTTATCACAGTATTAAATAATATAAAATAATCTTTAATCATCTACCTTGTTTATATCTTGGACACCTTTTTTTTTTCTTTTCTTTTATTAAGAGTAATAAATAAATTTTGAATAAACATGAGGGGGATTTTTTTTATTAAAAAAAACGCTAAGATCAACACCAAAAAACAAAAACATTGAGAAGCAGGGAAACATTTGTTGGGTAAATTAAGGCATAAGAAATATAAAATATAACAATAACTTCGATCAAAGGAATAAATATTTATATTCCTATTTGCATTTTTCCCTTCTAGTACATGAATTAAACACCTGCATATTTAGCTGATTATCAAAGAAGTCAGAGAATACATGCTTCTCTCAAAACTACTTTTTACATGATTTTTTGAGATAATAAATTTGTTTTTTCTAAAATAAAATTGTTTCTCAAATGCTTCTACTTTTTAAAAACTCTTATAATTTTGAAAATAGTAGAATAAAATGGAAACATAATAAAATAAAAATAGAAAAATAGATATCTGCATATATACACATGAAATTTTGTATCATGACATTTATATAAATGTTTTTAATGTGTTTAATTGAAATAAATAAAATAAAAATAAAAAGCATTGATAAAAATAATTAAAAAAAATTAAATATAATTTCGTCTTCAACAAGAAGAAGAGAATGAATTTTTTTAAAAGAAACCAACAATTATATATTAGTTCTATTGATTGTATGTTAATTATCATAACATTATTGCCTCTATTACCATTAATGATGGTGGTAACATTTTTTTTTCAAAAACTATATTATTATTATTATTATTATATTACCACTCTTTTACCTTCTTTATGGTGGTGGTGATTTTTTTTAAAAAATACATTATTATATTAAATATTATCATTATCCTCACATCTACTTTGTTTTCTTTGTTATTATTATCATAATTATTTTTTTATTTTTACTACTATTTATTTTAATAAAATTGTTTTTTCAACTATTATTTATTTTCATTTTAAAAGCAAAGTATTGCAAATTTTAATTTTGATTTTTTTATTACTATTCCAAACATAATATTAAATTTAAAGTTAATTCTCATTCCAAATGTTTGATTCTTATAAGCTTGCTTGCTATATTTAAAGTTGTACACTGATATAACTTATGGTTAGGTCTTCAGTTAAACATGATAGAAATTTAGTTGGGAGTTTGGGTTTGAAGCAAAGACCATTTGTTCAAGTGAAAAGTTTTTTCTTGGATTTTTCTTGTATTTCATTCGGTCATAATAGGCTTTCATTTTAGAATGTATTCAACTAAATTATGTTTATTGATGTTGATGAGTTTGACCTAATTATAAAAAAATTGATTTTAGATGAATATGATTTCGATCTTGTAAATGTACATGGGCTTGGGTTCCATAGAATCCAAGGTGATTGAAATTAATTAGGGCGTTGGAGTTTTTTTTCTAAAAGAATTTGTAAAAATTCCTAGTTAAGTTTGAGTTTATGATAAGCAATTATAAAATTAAATTATAGAGGGATTATTGTCTTTTTATTGGACAATGATTCTATATCTAATTTGAAAACTAAGGGATGAGAGTATATGGAAGTAAATCTTCTTATTTATTTGTTCATTACAAGCAAGGATTCATTTCCTTACAAAGAAAACAAAACACACTCAGATTTGGAGAACCTTTCTTGTTTTTTTCTTTCTTTTCTCTTGTAGGATTTCTTTATTTTAAAAGAAGATTGTGGAAGGTTTTTAAAAATGAAGAATTCAACAACTCTTTTTCTTATTTTTAAGGGCATCGATTTGACCAAACAAGGAAAGAAGATCAATAATTCAATATAGCATGTTCTTAGCATGAAAAAGGGTCTAAAAAAGATGGCGATCACATATTATTCCCACACATGTTAGACTCGACCATACAAGGAAATTAATCAAGATAAGGACATTTTTTATGGCTAATTGTTTCCTTGTATTATTCTAAATATTTTACTTAGTTTTTAATCTATTTTATTTTTGATGGCTAATTATTTCCCTGTATTATTCTAAATATTTTGCTTAGTCTTTAATCTATGTTAAGTATTATTTAAACCATAATATTTTAGTTTAGGTTTTTAATTTCAGTTGGGATTGTTTTGGCCTAAATTAAGTATTTTAAGTTTGTTTTAGATATTAGACTCATGTTAGCTAAAAGCCTAATGGTTTATAATCTAATATGGGTCTATTAAGGTTAGTTATCATAGGACTATATAATGTCTTTTTTTTTACTAATTTCAATAGCTTTTAGATAAACAATATTATTGTGTTTTGTTTGAAGCAAACATGTTATTTGTTGTGATAAGAAAAAAGCCTAACTTATCAATGTATAACTGAAATTATTATTATTATTAGCATTATCATTATTAATAATATTACCATGATTATTATTACAATTATTATTGTTATTATTATTGAAAAAATAAAAAATATGAACTTGATTTGTAAGATATAATTGAAAATTATAAAAAAAATTGATTAAAAAACCCAAGAAAAACAATAAAAAAATCAAAAGAAAAGAGATAAAATTAAAATCACTATTATTATTGAAAAAAAATCATAAAATTGATTTGAATAATCAAATTGCAAGCCATAAAAACTTTGATAAAATAGCAAAGAAAAACAATTAAGAAATTAAAAGTAAAAGGATTGAATTGAAATATGTCATGTATACAAATTAAAAACTAAGAGTTAAATTGGAAAACAAATAAAATTTCAACAAATGATAAAATAAATACAAAACAACAATCGAAACTCAAAGGTCTAAATTTAAAATAACAAAAAAGAGAATCATAATATATTTACAAGAATAAAAAAAATAAAGAAAAACAAAAAAAAGGTTGCTAGCGATACACTAGCTAAATTTGAAGCACACATGCCATATATTATAAAAAAGAATATGGTAAGGTATAATATGATATGGCAAATGAGTATTTTTTACAACTAGAAACTATTATCTATGTTGTTTAAAGTGTACGGTGGTTCCAACGCATTGACGCGTGCTAATAATTTTTTTAATAAAAAAATATTAATTTAATGGTAAATTACATAACTATCCTCAATTAAACTTATAATTAACAAAAAAAGATTAAAAAACTAAAATACCCCTGATAACAATGAACTAAATGTCTTGCATTCGAGAGTACATGTGTAATTTTATTTGTGTATATAAATGAAAGATACATAAATACCCCTATAGGACACCACTTAATTTTTTTTGGTCTTGAGGATATTTTGGTTATTTTAATATTTATAAAAATATTGAATGAACAAAAATACCATCAAACAAATTAATAATGATTTATAAACCATGTAAAAATATCAAAATACTCATAACCCAAATACATTATATTTTGATGAGAAGGACAAAATCATCACACATTATAATGGTGAATAGAAAAATATGAGGGGGCTACAATGAATCTCCCATGCCTTTTAGTGTATTTGTTATAATAAGAGCATACAAAATATAAAAAATTGTTCAATGTAAGCCTGAACATGCAAAATAAAATTTACAACAAATATGTTTTCAACATAAATATAATAAAAAGAGTACTAGCATGCATACTAAATATTTATTTAAACTTGCAATATATATAAGATTAAAGTATTTAACATGCATACTAATAATAAAAATAACATTGATTAAATTAAAAAAAAAATATTTATTTGTTAAAGTGCTTTAAATAAATGAAACTCTTATTGTTATCAAAGATAAATCATTTATTCTTTAAAATTCTATTCATTCTTATTTATGCAGCCAAAATGTTTTAGAATGATTCACAAAATTAAAGAAGCAAAAGTGGTAAATATTATGAAAAAATCTGAAAAATGTAAGTTTGAAACTATTCCTTCACCTTTTTTTTTTATAGTAAAGAATTAATTAAAGAATTAACTGTTATAATTATCAATATTTAATTAACTACCATAATCAAGAATTAAATCTAAAAAAATTAAGAAGTTTTTTATATTAATTTTTAATTCATCCAAGCAACATATTTGTATAAAACTATAACATAAGTGATTTTTTTTGTGCTACATGAACAACAAATAGCTTCATTATAATATTTTTTTTATTTTTTTCAACAACAATTAGAAATGAAAATAGATATTCACTAGTCATATTTCTTTTTATATTTATACCTTACATAATACTCATTGAATAAAAAAAATATTTATATTTTATTCATCAAGTTTCTATATCTATATGATAATTTATTTTATGATTTTTATTCATTATTTAATAAAAAATAAATTAGTAATTTATATTTAAAGTGTGTGTATATATATTAAAACAAATTCAACAATTGTGGTTTAGTGAAATGTCATTAATAACCTATCTCTCTGTTAATGGATTATCAAATTATCTTTATTGAAGTAAACCTAAAAGTTCTTTTAGTAAAAAATTCACGAGATTTTTTAAAATTATTTTTTATTTATCTATAATTTATTTAAATTATATTAATTAAATAATTTCACAGTAGCATACCATCCAAAACCATGACACCAAAGACAAAAACTGTTTAAGAGTTGAACCACGGACATCAATTGTTGGCTAAAAAACATAAAAAAGAAGAAGAGAAAGAGTCATAAGCATAGAAACCTTAAGCTATAAAACAATCATTTAATGGGGTGAAAATTTATGTTTTAAAATTGAATCATATTTAATAAAATTTAACAAGATTTAAAAATTAATATGAAATTCTTTAGATTATCAATATATGTATTTTTTTTGTTACACATTGTCCGTTTCACCGTAAACTTTTTATTTTTATTATTTTTTCTCAGTAAAATTTGATGAGTCAAGTTTTTCTATATCTATATTCTATTTATTGCTTATTAAAATTTAAATATTTTAATAATTATATAAGTATTCATTGTATAATTATTATTTATTATTCAAAAAAATAAAATAGTATATATATATATATATATATAAGCTCAGAGTTCAGATCGGGTGTTCATATAGTAAAATAACTATGCCAAACAAAGTTGAAATTAAATTATCATATCATAATCTATTGCAAACAAAAGAAAATAAATAAATGTAATTTGAATATCTTACACGTGTAAACGCCTGAGTAGAGTTGAAAAGGACCGTTTTGTTTTGACATGAAATAAAGAAAAGAAAATTAATATATCTTAATTTGTCTTCTAACAGTACATATGGCTTAGGATTCCACATCTCTCTGCGGCTCTCTCTGCTCCTCTTGAACGTGTCTTAAAAAAAAAAAGACAGAATAAAAACAGCAAGTCAGTTGGCGTGACCAATTTCCTTTCCTAAACATAAAACACTCTGTGTTGTGTCTAGCCTACACGCTTAACCTAGTCACTTTCTCACCTTACCAAGTAATGGCCCAAGAATCGACTCCACCGCCCGTAACACCGCCGCCGCCTCCATCACTTGAGCAAGCTCCACCTTCTCCAGCCATGGTGAAAGATAAAGGAGACTTGCCGCCACCAGCACCAGCACCAGCTGAAGAAGCTGATTCACCGGGGGCAAAGGGGAAGGAGTTACAGGGGCCAACACTACCACCGCCACCGGAAGGTGAGCAAAAGGACTCTAGATCATCATCATTGGCGGCGATGATGGAGAAAGAAGAGTCAGTTTTATCACCACAACCACCTCCTGAGGAGAAAACTGAGGTAACTGAAAAGTCAGCGGCTACTAAAGAAGAGGCTGTTGCTGTTGCCGATGCCGACACTGGGAAGGAGAAGCAAGTACAAGAGAATAAAGTTCCTCAAACTTTGGTTTCTTTTAAGGAAGAGAGTAACCTAGTGTCTGATCTCTCTGATATCGAGAGAAAAGCTTTAGAAGAACTGAAGCAGTTGGTTCAAGAAGCTCTCAATAGTCACCAGTTTAGCACTGCTCCACCAAAAAAAGAAGAGAGACTAAGTGTTATTATCACCCAAGAAGCACAAACAACTCAAGAAACCTCCAAAACTGAAGCATCAGCGTCAGAATCTGATGTTAGTACTGAGATTAAACCACCAGCAGAGACTCAGGAATCAAAAGTTGAAGAAACCCCAGAAAAAGAATCACAAGAAGTGGCAAAAGAAGAGCAAAAGGCTGTATCTTCACCAGAGGAGATCACTATATGGGGGATCCCTCTTCTGAAAGATGATAGAAGTGATGTGGTTCTCTTGAAATTCTTGAGGGCAAGGGATTTTAAGGTAAGAGATGCATTTGTAATGATCAAGAACACAATTCAATGGAGGAGGGACTTCAAAATTGACGAGCTTGTTGACGAAGATCTAGGTGATGATTTGGAGAAAGTTGTGTTTATGCATGGTTATGACAGGGAAGGGCATCCTGTGTGTTATAATGTGTATGGTGAGTTTCAAAATAAAGAGTTGTATCAGAAGACATTCTCTGATGAGGAGAAAAGATTGAAGTTTTTGAGGTGGCGGATTCAGTTCTTGGAGAGGAGTATTAGGAAGCTTGATTTTAGTCCTAGTGGTATTTCCACCGTCTTCCAGGTTAATGATCTCAAGAACTCTCCAGGACCCGGAAAGAGAGAGCTTAGGTTGGCTACTAAACAGGCTCTCCTATTGCTTCAGGACAATTACCCTGAGTTTGTGGCCAAACAGGTAGATTCTCATGACTATTTTCTTTCTTGATTGGATTTTGCTTGAATGGTTTGTTTGTGATGTACTGAGTGTTGTGGTTTTTGGTTTTGTTAGGTGTTCATCAATGTCCCTTGGTGGTATCTTGCATTTTATACAATGATCAGTCCATTTATGACACAAAGAACCAAAAGCAAATTTGTATTCGCAGGCCCATCAAAATCTGCTGAGACACTTTTCAAGTTAGTGAAGTCTCTAAATCATTTAATTTTTGCCGAAATAGGGTCCCTTGATGGTCCTCTTGAGAATTTTCTTCTCATATTTATTGTTTGATTTAGACTCTAAAGCTAAAACTGGTGAAACAGATATATATCTCCTGAGCAAGTTCCTATTCAGTATGGTGGCTTGAGTGTGGATTTCTGCGACTGCAACCCTGAATTTACTATTGCTGATCCTGCTACTGAGATAACTGTAAAACCAGCAACCAAGCAAACTGTGGAAATTATAATTTATGAGGTACAAATTCACTACTCCCTTTGTGCTATACTACTTACAATTGATCCATGCTACTGTACAATTCTTAACTCCTATTAACTGGCTTTGATTATGGACATTTCTGCCATGCTAAGAATGCTTGGCTATGAACGAAAGGTTTGTTCTGTTTTTGAAGTATGAATTTGTGCATTGCAGAAATGTTTCATTGTTTGGGAGTTGCGAGTTGTTGGATGGGAGGTGAGTTATAGTGCTGAATTCGTGCCCGATTCTAAAGATGCATACACAATTATAATAACAAAACCCACAAAAATGACTCCAACCAATGAGCCAGTGGTGTCTAACAGCTTCAAAGTTGGTGAGCTGGGAAAAATATTGCTCACAGTTGACAACTCTACCTCAAAGAAGAAGAAACTTCTCTATAGGTTCAAGATAAACCCCTTCTCAGATTGAGGAACTCTTTGTATTTAATGTTTCCATCTCAGATAGTTGTGGAAATTGAATTAATTTTATGTACTCTGTGTGAGCCTTTTGTCTTTTTTTTGGCTTTGGTTCTTTTTGGTGGGTGGCATGGCTGGTTGAGAATAGCACGTGGTTTGCATTTGGTGTTTTTTTTTTCAATCATCTTGGGGAAAACAAACACAGATGTGAGGGAAAATGGAGGGGTGTGTGGTTGTGAAACTTATATATACATAAATGTGCCATTTCATTGAGGCGTTTTGCGATGCGCTTTCTCGTTTATCTGGATGTCAATATTTCAGTACCATTTAACTTTATGTAATCTCAAAACTCTTATGTTATTACGACATCGAATGCTTCAATTTGACATCATCTTTAAAGTTGAATATTGTAATCCAAGCAAGAGTTGATCCATTTTTGACTAGTGCCCTTGACGGATTGGTGCTTACCTAACTATTTCCAAAGGTCAGAAAATTATGGCGGGGAAAGAAAAAGAAAATTAGGCTTCATTTTGGTATTGGATGTTGAAGATAACACATACGGTTATTCTTACCTGTCATGTAAGTTTGTAGCTGTAAAGTGTGCCTACCCTCCCCTATAGTTGACACTACTGTGGCATTTGAGTAAACTGAAACAAATCAAGAACAGCTGAATTCGGTGTGCCACTATCCTTTCCAGGATATGTGAATAGGTATGAGACAACGTGGGCTACTGCAACTTTTCTCAATTAGCATGGTAGTCTGGTACCTTTGAAAGAAACTAGAGGTTCTCCACCGCTGATAGAGGAAAACAATGTTCCCTTGGATAGGTTTTTTTATTGAAAAGACTCTTTGCTTCAAAAGTAATTTAACATTTAACATGTTCTGAGGCCTCCATCAACATCTTTTTTTCTCTTCTTTAGCAAGGTGCAAGATTCAAGCACAGGTCCTTTTCCAGTTTCCAGTTCTCTTTGCTTAATTTATCGGGACAAGTCACCATGGTCCAATAATACAAATCCATTGATGACCGCATGAAAGTCTAAGCCATCCACAGACTCATATCAGATTGAGAGACACTCACTAATGGTGCAATGATAAAAGTCTTCGGCTCATGATCACAACCGTGCAGGCTCAAACACTGAAAATATTTTCTTTATACAAAAAATAAAAAATAGAAGATTCTAAATTCTCCTTCCGTGCTCTGTTTTTTCCGTCTCACACTCAAAACTCGGAATATATGGCTTTCTGGGCTTTATTATTGCAGGGTAATCGAAGGTATTAGGATCAGGTGATGTAATCATGAAAATTGATCAAAGTCAACATCGATACTTTATATGATTCCATTTCATAATGAATGGGAGGGCTAACAAAAGCTTCTGAAAAGCATTATCAATCCACGTATGTCAAGAGTGTTTTCTTAGCAGCTAGAGAATCTAAGATCATATATGTTCCAAGGTATAGGCTCAAGTTTTTCATGCAGTTGACCTAATTTTGATCTACCAAACAATTATTGCATATGGTTTTCTTTTCGGATCTCACATGGTAGCGAGGACAATATGTCTCTACCTTGAAATTATTAATAGTCTTTCTCTCAAAGCGATTGCGGATCGCAGGTTCAAGTCCCTCTATGCTAAACAGGCTACTGATCATGGGAAACAAGGTAGAATTATATTTGTAAAATATGCCTAACCACACGATCCCTTGCTCCACCCTCCTACAAGTATGCTAGCAAAAATATGCCTGAACACCAATTAAACTCTTGTTTGTCTGCATCTAGGATTCTTCCCCACATCCAGTCATAGGATCCCTCACCATTAAGACAAAATAAAAAATAAAAAAAATCAAGAGATTATGATATATATTGTACCTTTGTTAATCTGTTCTACAGTGCTTTTCACATCAGAATCACTGCAGGAAACCAGCTTCTGCCACTAAAACGCCTGTCTATGTTTTCACTATTTTTAATGTGCGTGAATCACATGGTCCTGCTTAATTATTATTAGAGTTTCTTTGAAAAATGCCCTCGTTTCAATTTCAAATTAACATTGATCTTCTGGTCTGTGAATATTACTAATTTCTTTTCGAGGCAGTGATATTTGCTCATTTGGCTTCATTCTTGTTGCACATCATTTATTTGGTTTCAGGTACTTGCAGACTCCAATTACATGATCCAGCGGTTGTCCTGCCAAAACAGTCGGTTTTCTATGTGGCATTTTTATGGTGACCAACGCCCCCTCCACGTACTTGCAGACTCCAATTACATGATCCAGTGGTTGTCCTGCCAAAACAGTCGGTTTTTTATGGTGACCAACGCCCCCTCCATAGCAGAAAAAATTTGTCACATGGTTTCTGCAAATTTATTACCACATGCTCTCTCCACTGCGCAGAACTGAAGTCACCTTCCGGACAGCAACCACTAGTGGTTACCTGCTTGCTCGAATTCAACAGGCTTATGGTGCATCCATTAAATAGATTGACTTTCTAGTCTTAGATATTGCTATTTCAAGCCCCAAGGATGTCGATATTTAACTGCAGTTGTTCTTCATATGAGTAATAAAAAAGCCATCTTGGCTAAGATTTTAGGTTTCAGATTGATATCTCTAGGAAAACAAAAAATCCTTTAAGCTTGTTGTTGAGAAGGGACAACTGTAGATATTAAAGTTAGCTTCTGCGACTATAATTTTAAAAAATAAATTGAAGAAAAACTACAAATTATAGTTTTTCAAAATCAAGATTTCAAGAGGGTTTTCAACGGATGGTTAATCAAACACTTTAAAATTATGATCGAGTCAAAATACGGTTTCAACTACACTAGACCGTCGTACAAACCCTTAAACGGGACATAATTGAGTAATAGCCGTTAATGAAAAAGAATATATCATTTGTTTGGTGGCTTTCCACCTACCTTTCTACTAGTCTTCTTCAATACATGAGTTCATATGGCAAGATTTCAAAGAAGATTGCAACAAAGATCAAGCAGGCATGGCGGTTCGGTATAAAGAGAGACAGCATGCGAGAGCTAAATGATGTGGGACAAAAACAAATTGCCATGAGATCTTCTACTCTAGTATTATCCAGAATGTTATTTTATGTTGTTCTTCATATTTAGTTTTAAGACTTAGAAAATCCATCTATCTATTTCACGTAGTAAAACAAAAACAGAAACATGCTCTATAAAAGTATATCGGGTGTGTAATTTTACTCGTCAAAGGGCAGACAACAGTTCCAATTGGCAAGCCCTCTTTCACTTTCATATAAACACTATATATATATATATTGAAACATGATTAGATGGTCATAATTAACGTTATGCATGATGCTATAAATTTGATTAAAAAATGTTGAAATTAAAATTGAATCTGATTAAATAGTAACATTATTTTTCTTCTACCAGACGCGGCACAAGAAAAGAAAAGGTTTGAATTCCTTTTTCTTTTTCATCTTTGCATTTCTAAAAAGAGAATACCAATAGTTATTTTAAATCTTCAAACCATTCATAATTCTTTTCTTGAATAATAATTTGATTTTTATTTTACTATATTCACTTGCTATTTTTTTAGCTATTTAAATGCAAAGCCTTGTAGCTGCTTGTCAAAAATCTAATTTTAACCCAGTAACTTAAGTTTTAGATAAAATTGTAAAATATAATTTATATTATTCTTCAATATATTTTTTTAAATAATTTTTTTTTAGACTTGAAACTTATACAAGTCTATATTATTTTATATTTAGATAAAATTGTAAAATATAATTTATATTATTTTTTAATATATTTTTTTAAATAAATTTTTTTTAGACTTGAAACTTATACAAGTTTATACTATTTTATGTTTAATTTTTACTAAATAAATATAAATAATAAAATTTAAATTCATAATCGTTTGATCATAAAATTATGATACTATATTAAAAAACCAATATCAATACGATAAATTAAAATATTAGTCAAGATGATATAATATAATTAACATTATTTTATAATACTGCTTCGTAATTTTATTTTGAGAATATTTAAGAATTAATAATCCATGGAAACCTTTTATATATGTAAAACAAAATCTAATAAATAAGATTGCATATATATTACACATAATCACGTAAGACCTAGATTTCAAAATAATTAAAATTTGTTGTAGACATGCCGGTTTCAATAATGATTACACAGCTTAATTAGGTCATTTACAAGCAGCCAAGCATTCATTCATTGGTTTGTTGAGCTTTCAATTTTTAGGTGGATTGGTAAGTAGCTAGGTGGGTGCTGGCTCTTCCTTTTCCATTTGCTTTCTAGCTTTCTCCACGCGTGACGAAGCCTATACATACAATTTTGGGGCCTATTTGCCTTGCAATCATTTATTTTGTGGCATGACACCTCTCTGATCAATTCCCACAGCATCAGGCTTGGAATATTTTGCTATTTTTTTGCGACTACAAACGTTGTTTAATGTCTGAAAGTCTAAGCCTTCAGTTCCAAGCAATTGAGATGCTTCATTATACGAAAATGTTTCGAATTCTGTATGAAAGATGCTTTCAGTCATGAGATAAATAACACGGAAGTTGCGCCAAATAACCATTTGATGTTGGAGTTTTTTTTTTTTTTAAGTTTTATATTGATTGATATATTGAAACTTTGCTAGAAGATTTCAACCTTGTTGTTTTAATGTTAATGATTAAAATTTTATATTAATTGAAGTTCAAGAAAGCCTTCAAATAAGGTTTTGAAATTATCATTCAAGATTTGTTATATTTTCTTGTTTATTTTTTATTTGATTTGTTTTTTAATTTTAATGTTTTCCCTTTATTTTTGCGATTTCTTTTTAGTTTTGATAAGTTTTGAATTTTATTTAAGGAGTTCTGAACTTCGTAAAAAGATAAACTAACTGAATATAAAATATTTAATAGCAAGATTATAAATTAAAATTTTCATATAATTAATTTTTTGATATATATAATTATATATTTTTGTGCTTTATTTTATTTTATTTTAATGTTGCTTTGGTTTGCGTTGCCATTATTGTCACCAATTTATTATTATTTTCTTTTCTATCTATCAGTCGCTAGGAAGTTTCATCTTTCCTAGCCTCACCCTTTAAACAATACAATATCCTCTTTGGAAAAAGGGCTGTGGTAAATATAAACTTACGTAATGGTCGAAAGAGTACTGACGTTTTGTATTGAATCCTAAGTCCCGGTTCAGGTTGTAAGAAATAAAGTTTATTTATTTATTTATTTATTTATTTTTGATGCAGATGACCTATCCATAATCACAGCAGAGTATTTATTATTTTATATTTTAATTTTTTTAAA